ATGTCACGGAAAGACGGGAGCGCGTGGGCGCTACCGGACAGCCAAATGACCAACCTTGTGCGCCTGTTTCGGACCAGCTATAAATATTCTTATTATCGCTCCATGCTCATCAGTGTAAAGGGCAAAGTACAACTGGATGGTGAATTATATATCAATTGAAAAGGTCGATTTCTTCAACACCTATCTGAATCTTGAATTATGGGGAGACATGGAGAGAGAGGAGAATTTCTTCTACTTGAGACCAAAAAAGTCAACTTTCACATGGCGACACTTCTTGCACAGTTTCTGATTGTTTCTTGCATAGCTCTTCTCTTTCCTGGTGTGTTTGCAGGCTCCTTCTTTGTCCAGTGTCGTGTGGAAAGCCATCCATCTCTGACCGGTCTGACTGCTGCCTGTCTCTGCAGGCGTCCCTCCGTAGCCCGTGTCTAGCTCTTGTCCCCCACTGACAACACAGTGATCATCACCGGTCTGCTGCTGTAAATACGTGCACATGATTACAGCCCTCTTTAATACTTATTATTTTGTTGCGCCTACTTTGAAAGCTCAAGCCCCAACCAATGACCAAGGTTAAAATGCTCCAGCACAGCCTAAAAAAATAGCCAAAATTTTTTTGTGGTGGTTTAATAGAGAACAATAGCACAGTCTTGTATCTAGACAATAAACATTAAAAACAGAATGTAAAGAAGGAAAGAGATTTGAAAATGAATGCTGTAATTACTGTACTCATTTATGAATCATTTTGTATTTCTGTGTTTGACTATTTGTCTGGTTCAATTAACAAAGAATGCATTGGGGACTGCGGCTGTACTTGGCCGCACATAAGCGCCATATTGTACCTAAATTGCTCCATTTTTTTTTTCTCACTTCACCTGAGCACCTCTCAACACAAAGCAAAATGTCAAGCAAGCATTGCGAGCCACCCGGGCATTGTGTCACTTCAAGTTTTAAAATCTGGCTATTTTTGTCGACAATAATGTTTGAAAATAGTTTGGTTCGATGCTTTAGAGTAAGATGGAATTGCTAAGAATTGATAGCTGTAATTCTTTGGCTCAGGAGCAAATGCCAGCCATTAAGGTAAATTTGAAGATACATTTCTGCCTTAGAGACAGCCTACTCAGCTCATCGTTTTTTTTTTTGTTTTGCATCACACGTGACTGTCAGACTTTTGAAAAAGAGTTTGGCGACGATGATGTAACCGGCGTTGCTCGCCTTGTGAAGTATTAAAGGCTTGTTGTCTCGTCGGGGGGTTGGCGTGAGAGCAGACTTCCATGAGGACGGCTGGCGGTGGTGCCATGTTCCATTACCATTTTAATGAATGACGACTTAATCAGTTGCGCTTTTCGTTTCAGTGTTTTACATTAGCTAATTAAAATGATTTTGGTGTTAAATTGGTGATGGTGAGCAACGTTAATACAAAATAAGATAATACACCAACTTAAATTATTTACTGTTTGGTAATGCGAGCACGATGTTTTGTGTGTGTGTGTGTGTGTGTGTGTGTGTGTGTGTGTGTGTGTGTGTGTGTGTGTGTGTGTGTGTGTGTTTTTAAAGATCCAAGGATTTCACCTCCCAGTAAAAATATGCAAGAAATTGTTCTGATATTTGTGGTGTTTTCGTTCATTAGTGTGTAATGTGTACCCAGCAAAATATTTTAAAAAAAAACACTTTATGAAAAAGACCATGAACAGATTGAAATTAAATGTGATAGATTCTCTTTCAGGTCATCAGTGGATTTTATTATGAATTCCAAAAGCAGCTTTGCTTTTTAGTACGAGGAAAGTCAGCGTTTCAATATTCCAAATGTACTGGTCCAATCTCACTGGAAAGATCAAATCCCCGAGCTAAAAATGTCCATTTGAGAAAACCATGATATTAACATCAGTACAAGATAAAAAGAAAACAACTGTAATGATTGCGTCCTTTTAGTTGATCAAGTTTTCAAGGTTTTGCCTTTTTTGACCTCACGTGTACACAAAAATAGACGGAAGGGAAAGAACAGCGCTGAATTGGGTTAAATAATTTAGTTGATGGAAAAGATAATTAATGGGGAAAGAGTCAATAGGCAGTGTGGGTTGGAAAAGGGGGATGTCTTAGGAGGGGGCACAGGTTGAGTGGAGAAGATCTCATCTAAAGGCTATCAAAGATTTAACAGCTGGAGACGACGGGAATGACAATTTGAAGTCTCCTAATTTTATGTGGAATTGAACTGCCCTCGCGCCTTTACATTGGGCTTTATGGACATCTTGCCACGTCCATGAAAAAGGGAATATCTTTTTGATTTCTTTGCAGACTTTATGGCTCACATAAATCCTGCTCTATAAAAAGGCCTGTTTTCATCTGTAAAACCAAATAAAAGCTGGCACTGATTCCAGCGGAGCTTCAAAACCAACTGTGGAAAATATTCATTTTTGGAAAATGCCACTATTATTACTAACAGTCATATATATGATTATGACGTAGATGATTCCATACATTTGCATATCCATGATCCTTACCATTTACTTTTGTTCATTTTTTTTTTTTTTTAGATGACGTTTGTTTTAGGTTTCTCTTTGATGAATTCATTGATGAGTTACACTGTGTCGCCGTGCTATGACATCACTATTGACGTTGCTGACACATCTTTTGCCATCACATGTACGCACAGTGTTGAAACAAATCAGGTTACGATCGACTACTAATTGTCCTTCGACTAGCAAAGTTGAGCTTTACCGCTTGGCGGGAAACTTAGCATGGTTGATTGTCAGCGTCAACATATTTTGCTATGTTTAGCATCCATGCTACGTTTAGCTTAAAGGATTAATTGGGTTTTATAAAATAAGGGACTCCATTCCCCAAAAGACGTTGCAAAAAGAATCGGAAAATAAACTGTTCAAAATTCTACCCCCAATAGCGTCCAACACACACTTAATGAGCAGCTGGTTTAAATTGTAAAAAGGATCCACTTCACAAGGTATGCAAACAGTGAAGCAGTCGGTACGCTAATTTCTTTAGTCTCCTTTTCTTGTTCGAGTATGCAAATCAGTAGAGCGGTAAACAAGAACCCATCAGCCTGGCAGCTGCTGTCAGTTGATGCACCAAGTAAATTACGTAGTGAAACATAACATAGCACTATATACACACACACACACACACACACACACACACACACACACACACACACACACACACACACACACGCACACACACATTTTTTTTTGG